GTGGGGGTGTGTGTGTGGGTGAGTGTGAGTGTGTGTGTGTGTGTGTGTGTGTGTGAGTGTGTGAGTGTGTGTGAGTGTGTGAGTGTGTGAGTGTGTGAGTGTGTGACAGTTTTTTTTTTTAATTTTTAATTTAGGATGAAGCCAAGTAGCGTTTAAAGAGATGAGTTATCAGCTGTCGCTTGAAAATTGAGTTACACCAAGATTTCTGACCGAAGTTGATGGGGTAACTGTAGAAGCACCTAGCTGGATGGAAAAATCATGCTGTAGAGTTGGAGTGGCCGGGAAGACAAGAAGCTCAGGCTTTGCCAGGTTGAGCTGTAGGTGATATTCTTTCATCCATGCCGAGATGTCTGCCAGGCAGCCTGAGATCCGTGCAGCTACCGTTGCATCATCTGGTTGAAATGAAAGATAGAGCTGTGTGTCATCAGCATAGCAATGGTAGGAGAAGCCATGTGCCTGTATGATGGGACCCAGTGATGTAGTGTATATGGAGAAGAGGAGGGGGTCCTAGAACTGAGCCCTGAGGAACCCCAGTGACAAGTTGATGTACTTTGGATACCTCTCCTCCCCAAGACACCCTGAAAGACCTACCAGTGAGATAGGATTCAAACCAGCGAAGTGGAATCCCTGTGATGCCCAGTGATGAGAGGATCTGATGATTTACAGTGTCAAAAGCAGCAGATAGATGATTTGGAATCAGCTTTTGCAATCCGCACGGCTTCTGTGACTGACAGTAGCGCAGTCTCAGTTGAATGGCCACTCCTGAAACCTGACTGGTTAACATCCAGTTTGTTGTTCTGTGAAAAACAATGATGCCTGGTTGGAAACAACTCTTTCGTGGGTTTTCGCTATGAATGGAAGGAGAGAGACAGGTCTGTAGCTATCTGTAAGTGAAGTGTTTAATGTAGGTTTTTTGAGCAGTGGGGTTATCCGAGCCTGCTTGAATGCAGTGGGGAAGGTGCCTGTGAGGAGAGATGTGTTGGTGATGTGTGTGAGTGCTGGTAAGAGTGTAGGAGAGATTGCTTGGAGAAGGTGTGAGGGGATTGGGTCTAGAGGGCATGTTGTAGGATGGCTGGAGAGGAGAGGTGAGGGGACAGAAGGAGAAGATGGGAGTTTTAGCAGTGGGTGTGGATGGTTTGAGGTCCTGTGTGTGTGGGGCTGAGAACTGACTACTGATTGTTCTAGTTTTGTCTGTGAAGAATGTGGTGAAATCCTCAGCTGTTATAGAAGTGGTGGGAGGTGCTGGAGGAGAGAACTGAATGTTTTGAAGAGATGACGTGTGTCTGGAGCGCTGTTTATGTGTTTGTGGAAGTATGAAGATTTGGCAGTATGGACTTCAGCAGAGAAAGATGAATGCAAACACTGATACATACTCAGGTCGGGGTATGTAGGGGTTCTACCAAAATATTGTCTGCAATACAATTTCCCTTCAGTAATGTTATATTTGATTTAAAATTTAATTAAATTGACAATAAATTTTTCTTGAATAGTTTTAGCTATAATAAAAAACTAGTTTGTTGTTTTGTTTTCTATCGATAACACATTCAGGTGGGTGGGACATATTATTTTAAACAGCCAATAGGCTTTAGTTTACATCACAGTCGTGAATCCTGATTCGCTACTTGCTACTGCCAGTCAAAGGTGCACAGTACAGTGCTGTTGCATTTATTACACAGAGATGTGCATCAGCTGATCCTGCGGCTCTGAATGGAGGCTCACTAATGCTGAGCTCTGGAAAAAACACACGCATCACTGGAACCACACACTACAGGAACACTGTGTGTGTGTGTGTGTGTGTGAGAGAGAGAGTGTGTGTGTGTGTGTGTGAGAGAGAGAGAGAGAGAGAGAGAGAGTGTGTGTGTGTGTGTGAGAGAGAGAGAGAGAGAGAGTGTGTGTGTGTGTGTGTGTGTGAGAGAGAGAGAGAGAGTGTGTGTGTGTGTGAGAGAGAGAGAGAGTGTCTTTATTATTTACTTTCTGACAAACTTATTCAGCTCAAAACCAGCATTCATGTTTCATAAATGAAAGAAATACAAGAAAACATTTTTATTTCAACAGTTAGTGTGTGCATCTGATAATATGTGCATTATGAACATTAACTGTTTGCGTTTCTTATTTACTTACAGTTTAAACAATACACAAACATTTCCCATTTGAGTCACCGTAACTGTAAAATGGAAATTATAATATCTAATCACCAATATCATAACATAACACCTAAACAATAATTAGTCTAATTTTAGGTATAAAGATATGGAGTTAAATAATATAATGCGCAGTAGCTAAATCGTGGTATTGCCACATAGAAGAATACTGGCCTCTGTGAGAAAGAATCAGTGATCTATAATCTGAAGCGCACCGGAGGCCCGGTGATGTCTCCGCTACACCGGGACAGAGCCCGAACCTGCTCGAGTCCCCGCCGAACAACACGCGTCTCTCGCCTCAGTCTCCGGCGCTCGGGGCGTCAGACTCACACACACTACAGTAAAGCAGGGGTTGTACTCACGGTCGAGCTGAATGTGTCTCGCTGCTGTTCGTCCTGACTGCGCAGTCTCTCCGTGATCAGCGAGCGTCTCTGGAAACGCGTCTGTGCGTGCGTCACGCGAGCGCGACCGAACCGGAAGCGTCACAGCATACGCAGCGACAATGTATCAAACCGTTACATATCTAAACACAGCGTTACTCAACAGATGCATTCTTAATGATCGGAAATCGATGTTTCTAGAGAGTTGGATGGAGAAAGGAATATGGGCAATAGCGCAGTGAATAGATTTTTTAGATCATAGTGATTTATGTGAGAAATATAATCTAAGTATCTAAATCCAGCAGTTATTGTACTCGAACGCTACACCTCTGTACTGAATTTATAGAGCAAAAATGCCTTATAAATAAAATAATAATAAATAAAACACATTGTTTTAAAGCGCTCCGTTTTGTCTGATGAATATAGTAGCAGAAACAAATATAATCATGTACAATAATGTATATCTATATCTGTCAATAGCAGGGTTATTACATTATTATAGTTAACTAAAATAAAAAACATTTTGTAACTTAAAATATACATACGAGTCGTTTTTTATTTTTATGATTGCTAAAATTAATAAAACTGAAATAAAATAAAAACGATAGATACTCAAAAACTAATAAAAATGACCAAACATTATATTAATTAATAATTTAGTTAATTAGTTAATAATAATGAATAGAGCTGACATACTGAAGACTGTATTTATTTACATTTTAATATTTAGAAAAAAAACAAAACATAAAAAGGCAAAAATAAAAGTCTTATTTTCAAAAAATGTTCACACTAAATTGCTCTAAATTATTTATATTACTAAACTTTTGAAATGTCGTATCGTTCTCAAATCTTCAGCAGAAAGAGAACACTTTTCCCGAAATGTTTCATTTGGATGTTCGTCTGACGTTTTTTAAATGTTACAACTTGCTTCCGAGAATGTTCAGAAGTAACGTTCCTGTAACGTTTGCTACATTCTCAAATGGAGTGTTCCATCAACGTTCAGAGAACATACTGTCGTTAACTGGTTACATAGCTACCACATCTAATGGCTTTAAAGATTACTATTCTATTCTATTCAGCTGACTCTGTTTCTTTGAGCACTAATTAGTGTTTTGGACGATAACACACTGATTATTTTATTTTCTAGTCTCACACTACAGATAATGACAATAATCTGAGTCAAACAGTCAGTTTTGTTGTTAATGTCACAAATTTATTTTAAATAAGACTGTAAAAAACGACGTGAAAATTGCAATGTTTAATGTTTTTATTATTAACAAATCTAGTCATTGGCATAGTTCTCTATTCATAAAATGACACAAAGCAGGGCCTCGTGAGTGCTTGCACCACATATTGATAAGCATTTATCACATTTAAATTAATGCACAGCTAGTATACACTTCCATGAACGGAAAACATCTAATAGACATTAAGAATAAAATGTGGATGCAACAAAAACATACAAATATTACAATAATTAAACCATGAAAAAAAAAGTTGAAAATTGTTTTTGATATTGGCTTTCTGTGAAATGCATTGTTAGGTGTATCGCTTGGCACTGGTGTGAAATATTGTGCATTTAGAGGATCTGGCTTCAGTTTAATCATATTAATAAATGATAATTTCAATAATTCCGCAGCTCATCAATAACTGTGTTAATATCAATGGCGCCCTCTGCTGGACAGTCATCAAAACCGTTTGAGGGCTTTGGTCATGAATAATACTGACGCACACCTGTTACTCGTGTGTGTGTGAGAGAGAGAGAGAGAGAGAGAGAGGGTGTGTGTGTGTGTGAGAGAGAGAGTGTGTGTGTGTGAGAGAGAGAGAGAGTGTGTCTTTATTATTTACTTTCTGACAAACTTATTCAGCTCAAAACCAGCATTCATGTTTCATAAATGAAAGAAATACAAGAAAACATTTTTATTTCAACAGTTAGTGTGTGCATCTGATAATATGTGCATTATGAACATTAACTGTTTGCGTTTCTTATTTACTTACAGTTTAAACAATACACAAACATTTCCCATTTGAGTCACCGTAACTGTAAAATGGAAATTATAATATCTAATCACCAATATCATAACATAACACCTAAACAATAATTAGTCTAATTTTAGGTATAAAGATATGGAGTTAAATAATATAATGCGCAGTAGCTAAATCGTGGTATTGCCACATAGAAGAATACTGGCCTCTGTGAGAAAGAATCAGTGATCTATAATCTGAAGCGCACCGGAGGCCCGGTGATGTCTCCGCTACACCGGGACAGAGCCCGAACCTGCTCGAGTCCCCGCCGAACAACACGCGTCTCTCGCCTCAGTCTCCGGCGCTCGGGGCGTCAGACTCACACACACTACAGTAAAGCAGGGGTTGTACTCACGGTCGAGCTGAATGTGTCTCGCTGCTGTTCGTCCTGACTGCGCAGTCTCTCCGTGATCAGCGAGCGTCTCTGGAAACGCGTCTGTGCGTGCGTCACGCGAGCGCGACCGAACCGGAAGCGTCACAGCATACGCAGCGACAATGTATCAAACCGTTACATATCTAAACACAGCGTTACTCAACAGATGCATTCTTAATGATCGGAAATCGATGTTTCTAGAGAGTTGGATGGAGAAAGGAATATGGGCAATAGCGCAGTGAATAGATTTTTTAGATCATAGTGATTTATGTGAGAAATATAATCTAAGTATCTAAATCCAGCAGTTATTGTACTCGAACGCTACACCTCTGTACTGAATTTATAGAGCAAAAATGCCTTATAAATAAAATAATAATAAATAAAACACATTGTTTTAAAGCGCTCCGTTTTGTCTGATGAATATAGTAGCAGAAACAAATATAATCATGTACAATAATGTATATCTATATCTGTCAATAGCAGGGTTATTACATTATTATAGTTAACTAAAATAAAAAACATTTTGTAACTTAAAATATACATACGAGTCGTTTTTTATTTTTATGATTGCTAAAATTAATAAAACTGAAATAAAATAAAAACGATAGATACTCAAAAACTAATAAAAATGACCAAACATTATATTAATTAATAATTTAGTTAATTAGTTAATAATAATCAATAGAGCTGACATACTGAAGACTGTATTTATTTACATTTTAATATTTAGAAAAAAAACGAAACATAAAAAGGCAAAAATAAAAGTCTTATTTTCAAAAAATGTTCACACTAAATTGCTCTAAATTATTTATATTACTAAACTTTTGAAATGTCGTATCGTTCTCAAATCTTCAGCAGAAAGAGAACACTTTTCCCGAAATGTTTCATTTGGATGTTCGTCTGACGTTTTTTAAATGTTACAACTTGCTTCCGAGAATGTTCAGAAGTAACGTTCCTGTAACGTTTGCTACATTCTCAAATGGAGTGTTCCATCAACGTTCAGAGAACATACTGTCGTTAACTGGTTACATAGCTACCACATCTAATGGCTTTAAAGATTACTATTCTATTCTATTCAGCTGACTCTGTTTCTTTGAGCACTAATTAGTGTTTTGGACGATAACACACTGATTATTTTATTTTCTAGTCTCACACTACAGATAATGACAATAATCTGAGTCAAACAGTCAGTTTTGTTGTTAATGTCACAAATTTATTTTAAATAAGACTGTAAAAAACGACGTGAAAATTGCAATGTTTAATGTTTTTATTATTAACAAATCTAGTCATTGGCATAGTTCTCTATTCATAAAATGACACAAAGCAGGGCCTCGTGAGTGCTTGCACCACATATTGATAAGCATTTATCACATTTAAATTAATGCACAGCTAGTATACACTTCCATGAACGGAAAACATCTAATAGACATTAAGAATAAAATGTGGATGCAACAAAAACATACAAATATTACAATAATTAAACCATGAAAAAAAAAGTTGAAAATTGTTTTTGATATTGGCTTTCTGTGAAATGCATTGTTAGGTGTATCGCTTGGCACTGGTGTGAAATATTGTGCATTTAGAGGATCTGGCTTCAGTTTAATCATATTAATAAATGATAATTTCAATAATTCCGCAGCTCATCAATAACTGTGTTAATATCAATGGCGCCCTCTGCTGGACAGTCATCAAAACCGTTTGAGGGCTTTGGTCATGAATAATACTGACGCACACCTGTTACTCATTTCATAAATCCCTGTTTTTACGTTGTTTATGGCAACAGGACACTCTTATACTTTAGTAATTGAGTTTAAGCTCTTCTATATTATTTTTATTATTATTAAAATAAATGTTACAGTGGAGACATCTGCAAATGGCTTGTGGAAACAAAAAAATTTAATAAAATAAAAATCCGAATTGTATTTCAAATAATGACCAAATATAACTCTACAATTCGTCTCGAAAAACCGATTCCGTTTTTCTCTGTCACGAAGTGACGTCACACACCAAACTCACTTACTAAAGGTAGCGCCATATTCTTTTAAGTACATTTGAATATGCATTTTAAATAGTACCATACGCTAGGTTTAGACATTTTACCATGGTAATCTTTTTTGACACTATTTTTGAAGTACCAAGTCAGGAATATATATAGTACGCTGGTAAAGCTACCAATCAAAGGTTTAGACACCGACTCGATCTTTAAAGCGGTGAAACGACAGATTATCGGGGGGGAAAAATGTAGGGCGGGACTTGGCTCTATGCGTCGTTTGCTGATTGGATGTTGAGATGTGGGCGTGGCGCTTTAAAAAGTCCTGCGTAGTTTTGACATTTTGGTTAAACATTACGAGGTCGAAACATGTTTCAAAATGAAACATATGCACGGATGATTTACTTACAATAAAATCTATAACATGCATTTCCGTGACTTTCCATCCCATGCCGACTTTAGCTATGAAATAACTCCAATCATTTTCTCCACAGGGAAACTGAATTTTAACGATAGCTTTTAAAACAATACAGTGGAGTGAAGAAGTGTTGGCCATCTTCCTGATTTCTTATTTTTTTGCATGTTGCATGAAACACTTTAATGTTTCAGATCATCAAACGCAAACGCTTGATTGCAGTTGTTGCTGCTGAGGGTGGCCCAACCAGGTATTAGGTTTAGGGGACAAACACTTCTTCACACAGGGTCATGTAGTTTTGGATTTTGTTTTCCCTTAATAATAAAAACCTTCATTTAAAAACTGCATGTTGTGTTCACTTGTGTTATCTTCGACTAATATTTAAATTAGTTTGATGATCTGAAACATTAAAGTGTGACAAACATACAAAAAAATAAGAAATCAGGAAGGGGGCCAACACTTTTTCACACCACTGTAGAAACAGATCTGCTGTGAGCTCAGAGTTTGTTATCTGATGATATTTGCTTTTGTTTAAATCACAAGTTCGCTTTATTTCAACTCGTTTTTTTTTTTAATAATCATGTTTAATTTGTGGTGAAAAACTACATCACCCATGATGCAATGAAGGAAATTCCACCAATCAGAGAGCCGCCGAAAGACGTCATTAGCTCCGCCCACTCAGCCAAACGCGGCAAATGACGTCGTGACGCAGTCGCTCTCAAAATACTTAAATATTTGTGTATATTTTTCAGTAAACCTAAAATATATAGCTTCTAATCAGCAACTTTAAATGAATAGTTTTATATTTCACCATCATTTTTAATTCGATTGTTATTCGCAATGCCTCATGGGATTGTAGTTCTTTCTTTCTTGTCTGATTTTCAAATTATTTTTTTTGCTTAACATTAAAAGTGTGTAATCTTGTGATTCTCCTCGTAGCTGGTTGGTTTGGTTCATGACTTATAATGCTTCAACAGAGACTTTTTACAAATCCCTATGTGTGTGTGTGTGTATTTGTCCTCTTGGCACTCTTTCGGAGAAGTCTAAAAATGCCCTGTAGCCAAAGAGCCAGTGTGTGTCAGGTAATCCTAAACCACAGCTGAACACACACACACACACACACACACACACTGGCAGTGAGGAACAATGCCTGGCTTTGTAGGAGCTCAGCAGGAAAACACACACACACACACACACACATATGCGGTCTAATTGGATCACATGCGCTGGATCTGTGACTCCCATGATGCTCTGCTGCTGCGTCTGGATGGGTGTCCTCTGTACGTTCACACACCGCATCGCTCGTCTCGATCGTGTCATCACTGCATTTACACCTGCAACACAGAAAATGTGAGAAATGGTCAAAATGACACTTTTAGGACACACTAGCGGTTCCAGCAAAGAAAATGCATGGTGAAGTGCACTGTATAGTGTCCTCGATACACAGATCTTCGATAAAAGTGTCTGTCAAATGCATAAATGCAAATGAATTATACATAATTAAACATAGATAATTACACTTATTTCAAAATACTTTTAATTTAATTTAAAATTATACATTGTGTAATTATGCATAATTAACATGATAGAAATCTGAATAATTATTTTCAGAAGTTTTTCTATTTATATTTTTCAGATGTTTTATATATTTTATATTGTTTTAAATACTAATGCATTATTATGCATAAATATGCATGATTGTACAATTGTATGCAAATGTATAAATACATTTTAAATCAAAGTTTGTAATGCTGTACAATTATGCATAATTCATATATATTATAAATATGTATAATTATGTTTATTTAAATAAATGTGGAACTTGCATTCAAATGATTCAGCTGAATTGGTCAGGCCACGCCAAAAAATGAATTGTGTAATATCCATGAAACAATTTGACCAATTAAATTTATCTTCCTTTAGGACATAATGAGTTACTTTAATTTTTTTAATATTATTTTTATAAAATAATTTTTAACAAAATATTTTTCAATACATAATTATAATGAATTTATAATTATAATAAATTATAAATAAATAAATATAAAATAAATAAAAAATAAATTATAAAACAATTAATAAATATATATTATAAACGTATATAATGTATAATTAATACATAATGTAAATATTTTATTTTTATGAAAGTTTTTAATTAACAAAATATTTTTATAATGTATGATTACGTACTTTAATACATAAGTATAATATTATTATAATTACACGTAATATAAACATTCTCATGAACTGGAACAATGGCTCAGAAAAGCCTTTAAAATGAGCAAAAATTACTTATAGCGAAGTAGTTACTATATAAAACCTACTTATATCGTAGAAAGATGCACAAACAAGTCTCTCTGATTTACGATCTCTGATGCATCTGTTTTAATGAAAATAATAAAGAACAACAAAATGAGAAGAAACATGATAGCTTTGAAACCTTGAGAAAGCAGACGAACGAGCAGAAAGAGTAACAGGATGTGAGGCCCCAGAGCTCGAGTTTCAAACATCGGTGAATCCCTGAGAGAACGGATCGACTTTCAGCAATAAAACCCAGTAGAATCAACACAGAGATTCACACACACACACACACACACACTCACACACACACACTCACTCACACACACGCACACACACACACACACACACACACACTCACATATTTTTATACATTTATATCATATACATTTCATTAATATATTATAAATATGCATAATATATAATAAATACACATAATAAAAAATTTATAATTTTATTTTTATAAAAGTTATATTACTTTTTATTAATTACAAGCCCAAACCTAAAACCAAGACAATGTTATTTGCAAAAACTGACTATTTGTGCATGAATGATGCTCATGTATGTATCTATGTGTGTGTGAGTGTCTGAGTTAGTGAGTGTGTGTGTGTGTGTGTGTGTGTGGGTGTGAGTGAGTGTGTGTGTGTGTGTGTGTGTGTGGGTGTGAGTGAGTGTGTGTGTGTGTGTGTGTGTGTGGGTGTGAGTGAGTGTGTGTGTGTGTGTGTGTGTGTGGGTGTGAGTGAGTGTGTGTGTGTGTGTGTGTGTGTGGGTGTGAGTGAGTGTGTGTGTGTGTGTGTGTGTGTGGGTGTGAGTGAGTGTGTGTGTGTGTGTGTGTGTGTGGGTGTGAGTGAGTGTGTGTGTGTGTGTGTGTGTGTGGGTGTGAGTGAGTGTGTGTGTGTGTGTGTGTGTGTGGGTGTGAGTGAGTGTGTGTGTGTGTGTGTGTGTGTGGGTGTGAGTGAGTGTGTGTGTGTGTGTGTGTGTGTGGGTGTGAGTGAGTGTGTGTGTGTGTGTGTGTGTGTGGGTGTGAGTGAGTGTGTGTGTGTGTGTGTGTGTGTGGGTGTGAGTGAGTGTGTGTGTGTGTGTGTGTGTGTGGGTGTGAGTGAGTGTGTGTGTGTGTGTGTGTGTGTGGGTGTGAGTGAGTGTGTGTGTGTGTGTGTGTATGTGTGTGTGTGTGTGTGTGTGTGTGTGTGTGTGTGTGTCGTCTTACCCCGGGCCTCATTTGTTCTGGTCTCTGATTCTCAAGCATCGTCTCTTCATGGCTGGTTCTGGATCGTCCCGTCCGCTCGGCTCGGATCCCAGATCCGTGTTTTTCTCCCAGGTTTGCATGTGTAAATGCGTTTGTGTGTTTTTCTCGTGTAGTTTGGGCGGTACGGACCGCGCGTAGGTGTGCTCTACATCCTGCGGTGCTTCCTCCTCCCCCCTGCTCTCTTTCGATTGGTCGCTCCGGCAGTCCGTCTGCTCTGCCGGCCAGCGATTGGCCGAGCCGTCGTCCCGCCCACTCAAATAGCTGTTCTCTTTCACCTCTTCGCAGTCGGAGAGAGGAGACTGAGAGGAGCTGTCCAGTGAGAACGAGGCGGCTTGTATGGCGGTCGAACGAGCCAATGAGTACAAAGAGGCGGGAGTAACGATTCTAGAGGCCGTCGGCGTGACGACAGATGCGTAAAGTGCTTTGTGCGTTGGAGATGCGCGCGTGTGAGTTTCCTCTTTCACCGGGTGTTTGCGGAGACACTGAATCACCTGGCGCTCCGATGCGAGAGGAGAAGCACATCGTTCGGTCTTTACTTTTTTGTTGGGCTCCTCTGAGTGACCCGGATCGGGCGTACGCTCGTGCTCCTGAAGGCTTCGAATGACTCCTTTGTGGCCCGTTTGAGGGAAAACAGGGATGGGAATGGGAATCGGCACCGGGATTGGCACGAAAACCGGGTAGGGTGATAACATCATGGGCTGCGGCCAGGGCGGGGGTAAATGGGGCGGGTACGCCGGGTGGAAGGGCATGTAAGGGGCGGGGAAAGGCTGGAGGAGAGGAGGCGGCGCAAAGGAAGCCCTCTGGTTAGGGCTGAGGGGGCGGGGCGGGTGAGAGGCGGGGCTTCGCAGGGGTGGGCGCACAAAGGGGAGGGGCATCTGAGGTGGGCGTGGCTGTTCCGGAGTAACACGAGCCGGGCGAGCCGTAGAAGAGGGCGATACGCTGGTCTGAATCCTCAGCTGCGGCGGGCTTCGGGGCGAGAGGGTTTTCGCTGGTCTGTCCCAGGCCTCCGGGGTGAGGAGTTTCTGGTTTTCTGCCACAGCCGTTTTGGGGCGGTCCTCCTCATCTTTGTGGGCGGAGCCGGAGAGGGCGGCACGAGCTTCCTGGTAAAACACGTCCATCTTGTAGTGGTTTAGGCATTTGGTGCTGCAGAACTGCAGGCGCTCCTCGCCCGAACCGAAGTCCAGGTACTCTTTAGTGTGACGCGGGTGTTTACACCAATCACACACCTGCAGAGAGACGGTTTTACAAAACACATCCATTCTGAAGTCTTCACATTTTAATATTTCCTTTTGTAAGTCACTTTTAGGCATATTTCGACATATATTACATATTTTTAATTTATTATTTTTTTTATAAACATTAATAATTTTGTACAATTCATTAATATATGAATAATTATTGTATTTTTATAAGCAAATATTTATTTTTAATTATTTGCACAAAATATTTTTATATGTGTAATTATGTATGTTTAATACAATACATGAATATGTATACTTATTTCATTTTAATTAACAAAATATTTTTAATTACACAAAACATTTTTCTATAATTGAACATTATACATTATTATAATTATTATTATATAAGGCGATCATGAGTTTGAGCAAAAGCTAATTATCTCAGATAATTAGTTTTAAATATGTGACAATATTTCCCCTTGATATCCAATATTTATATTTTTTAAGATATTGTATTGAAGTTCAAAAATCTAGTATAATGAATAAATAAATAAGAATACATTCCTTAATATTAATGATTAAATGTAATATATTTATAAATAATGCTTGATATTTGTCTTATCTAGTAACGGTTTCTACACGCAGTAATCGGCGCACGTGTGTTTATTTACACGCGTGTTGTTGTTCATCTTCAGCAGAAGTCTTGAGGGCGTGTCCAGCGTCTGGCCAGGGGGCGGAGACTGGTCGCCATGACGATCCTCATCTCGAGTCTGGAGGAACACAAACACACACAAATAGTAATCTGAAGCGCTTTGTTTGTGTGAAATATAAACATGTATTCGTCAGGGTTATTACAGTTAATCAACTAAAGCTAAAACTACATGAAAAAAAAAACTTTTGCCACTTTTGCTGGGAAAATTTTTTTTTAACTATAAAATATATTTAAAAAATATATTATTAATATTAACAAAAACTATAATCGTATCTCAATAACAACAGCTGATTCAGACACAGCGAAATGTCAGACGTGATGACAATGCGTTTGGTTTTCATTCTAAGTCTAACACTAGATCTATTGTTTTAGTAAAGTCTTTCTGTGAAATGCACTCGTCCTGCACAGCCAACCGCGCTTGCTTTGATATCGAATATCAGCTGAGAGACACAGACACGTTTAATAACTGCATCTGAAGAATCCAGAGACGTTATTCTGTGTGTGAGTGTGTGTGTGAGTGTGTGAGTGTG